TTGTTTGTTCAGCAGTGTTAATCCGTTTGTTTATGCATTTAATTTTATGGCACAGGTTGCGAATCACTGTATGAATTGTAGTGACTGAAAACCCTGCTATTGAATATGGATAAAATAAGTGTAATGCAAAGCATGGCATTTCAGAAAGCAGGTAGTGAGCTTTGAAACAACTGCAATAAACACAGTGAAGCTCGACTCGTTCTAGATTTTCTTTTGGTAGTAAATCATATGAACAGCTCTAGATTTTATATATAATTAATAACACTGTTTACAATATATTTTTGTACCTAAAGATTCACTAAGTAGCCTTAAAAGAAATGAAGACAATTTTCTCATCAATCTCTTAAGAACAACTCAGTATTTTCTCAATCACTCACATTTGTGTTTTTACAACACCTTCACATATATTAACTTATTAAAATTTGATGACCGATGCCTTATGATCCTTTTGTCGAGTGGACGTGCCGAAACAGCATGTATCGTACATTTGATCCTACTTTCATGCTTTCAGCCCTGCTTTGTCAACCAAAAAAGCCCCTCCCTCTAAAAAGAGCACGTTTTGAGCCAGTTTATCACCTGCAAGTACACAGAGAGCTAGCCAACACATTTATAAAATGCTAAGAAAGAAGTTATTTTAATAATAATGAACTGCATTAAAGATTTAAGGGTCTAAAGATTTAATTGAGGATTTTGATCTGATTGTAAAGACTTGCACAATGTCATCACAGCCATCAGTTAATGTTACACAAATCGTGGTTTGCTGTATATGTTCTTTGTTCAGTACAAGCAATGCAAACTAGCTGGATGCGACAAGCTAACAGCATCTGCGGCGTTTCAATGCAATTACTGCAATCATTATCAGTCAGTTTGATGGTGTTTTGTAGGGATAGTTCACCCAAAAATTAAAACTCCTCATTTACTCGCACTCATGCTGTTCCAAACATGTATGACTTTCTTTCTTCCATGGAAAACGCAAGAAGAGATACTTAGAAGAATGTTTCTTGTTTTTGACTATATAATGAAAGTCAATGGGGTTCAAAACAACACTGATTGGACGCCATTGACCGTCACTGTATGAATAAAACATGTTTGTGTTAAACATAAGTCACACAGGTTTGCAATAACATGAGATTGAGAAATAATGATTTTTGGGTGAACTATCCCTTAAATGTACGCTATTTGTTGCTTTTGACAACATATCAAAAACACTGTTTTCATTTTGATAGTGAATGTGAATCTCTTTCATTATAACTGTAGGTAACAACCCTATATTGCTGGCTTTCATGCCATACTACTGGACCTACAAATGACTTTTTGCAAAGGTCTTGTTTCCATGGTGAAGATAGCAGAATGGGAGGTCCGGCTTCGCCTTATTGTCGTTTGTCTATCTGCAGGAAGCCGGCTGTTATCTGCCGCATCCACGCACAGATGACACATGACACAGTTCCCTGATAGCAGCTGGAGTTTGAATGTTCAGTGGACGTTGTAGATTACAATCCAAAGGTGGAGATATGAAAAAAACATAAAGAACATGAGACAAAAGCTTGAGCAATTTACGACAAAAAAATTAAAAAAGATTAAAACTATGAGGTTTTCCTTTGCAATACTGTGTGTACCACCTTCCTAAACTTTTTTCCGAAATGCTAAAACAGAAGAAAAAGATAGCAACAGAAATGTAACAAAAATAGAAGTGCCTCAAAATTCAGTTCCCTATCTCTTTTAAAATACTTTCTCTTTTAAACAAATATAAAGTGCAGCACACATTCAGGCACGGATACAAATCAAACGTCTCTGAGCACAGCCCTTGTATTTCCTGTCCTGCCGCCCAAAGCTGTTTTCCTAGTGAAGTTTCGTCTGCTAGCTCTCCATCATTCTCCACTCGTCTGTTTCTGAACTCTCTTCTTTGGAGGCTCGTGGTGTATTCGTCCAAAGTCCTGCCTCCAAGCAACGCTTGACGTGGTATTCTGCCACCTGTTATGAGAGAGAAAGAGGATATTAATAACTAACAGGAAAAGACACTTGCAGCTCAGAGATCAGTATGAGGAACAGGAATTGAGCTGCATACTTTACAGAATACTGATCAAAAATGCATA